TCTTGCTGGGCGTGATCCGTGCTGGCGTCTACGGTGCCGACCTATGTGTTGTTAGCTTTTTGAGACATACTGTATGTATGAATGAATATAGCATTGAACATACCATATAATGAGCAAAGACAAGTTTTCCTTCCACGATAGATTGTGACAAGAACGTGGAACCAGCTAACAGCAATGTCAGCGCTGAATGCATTTTCCCGTACATGGTGACGGATGCAGCTGAAGAGTTTGAGAGTGGTGGCGTGGAGTGAGCTTGATGATGATAGAACTCGAGTCAGGTATTCTTCAAAGGGGGGCTGATCGACTATTATATAGTCCGGTTCAGCTGTAGCCCTACCTTAGCTATTCCCACGGAACATTTTTCAAGCAAAATCATGTTGAAATGCATTGTATTACTTTGGTACATCAAAACTCGATGTATCATGAGCATTGTGTGTGATTAGGTATATTGCAAGGGGTAGATGGTGGTGGTAATTCGACTCCTTGGCCCCCATAGGGCCGACAGGGGATGGATTGTGACCCGTTCTAAACCATTCCTTGGGCCTTTCCCGTCTAGGGCTGCCGGGGTGCCATCGCGTGTCCATCCTCCATCCTTTAGGTTCGTGCTCCTGCATCGTTACCGATATTGACCTCTCAATCGAGGTGTGTATATTTGAGTGCTAAATCTAATTGAAGAAGAATAATACCCTTTTCAGCCACGATTTAATTAAAAAGTAACTGAAATGTTCATGTCTTCGTATCCGGATTCTTCAACCCAAGAATTCTGTAACAAGCCCAGAACCACCTTAGCTTGAATCCTCTAGGCTCTCGATAGAAAACTCAGGATTTATTGGGTATTGAACCTCTCCTTTTTTGGCAGGACGGCAATGACACTAATGACTTAAGAAACACTCGTGTTGTGGAGGGAGAAAAGCCGAGGTCATACGACAAAAATTGAATGACAGGAACAGGAAGTTGGAATCTGAAGTGACCGGGTCTGATTGTCAAGCTAGCAAAATAAATACCACCACGCCGCACATACACAGCGATGGAGAGATGAGATGGAGAACGTTGCTGTATCTCTGACGTAGAGTATTTTTAGCAGAGGTTTGTGTTACCCCACAAACATGGCTTCTTCTAAGCTTCTACTACTGCAATGAGACCATAAGTTAGTGGTTCGTAGATATGTTTTGTGTTTACAATAACGGCAAGGCTTGATTTGAATTTGTGGTGATGGAAGTTGATTGCTTCATCGAGGTAACGTATCATCGGGACTTGACTACCGAGCTCGATATTGCCATTGATGGAAATTTAATGTCTCCAATGAGTCGTAAATTTGTATTGTAGGTTATAAGATTGGAGGGAATAATGGATTAATAATAGTGCTTGTAAATAGTATCAAGTTGTTTGAATAGTCTTAGTACGGGGGATGTCATCTTCAAGCTTCCTCGAACATTTAGTTCATTAGTATATTAGAGTAGAGCTTATGGTTATGATGTAGGTAAAAGGACTGTGTGTAATGACCTGAGATACTATTCCGTATACTCAGTAGCATATAAACTTCAAAAGAAATGAAGAAGCTGTTTTAATATCTTCAGCTGTTTATTATAATAGAATGATTTGATTCGTTCATGGTAAAAAAGGGGGGAGGATAGAAGTACGTACCGTGCATTGGTGGGGCGCGCTTAAAGCTAAAAACGGATAACGCGATAAGACGATAAGAAAAAAAAGTAGTTGCGAAATCTTCAACGGCGCGAACGTGAATCGAATTTCCTAGCTTCAACTCCTCTACCAACTAGATTGGTGAGACATAGCAACAAGCGATCGCGTCGAATCCAATCCAATCGCGATAATGGATATTCATCGTTGTCGCTTCGTTCCCTATCCTACCTCTGCTATCAATGCCGTCGCCTTCTCCTACCCGACAGTAACCAAATCTCAGAAAACCGCACCTGTTCGACTCGCGATTGGTCGTGCGAACGGCGACATCGAGATATGGAACCCTCTTAACGGAGCGTGGCATCAGGAGACCATTCTACATGGAGGAAAGGACCGAAGCATTGATGGTCTGGTCTGGGTTACCGAACCCGACCAAATTCTACAAGATGGAAGTAAGCTGGTAGGAAAATCGAGGCTGTTTAGTATTGGTTATACGAGCACCGTTACCGAATGGGACCTCGAGAAAGGTCGCCCGAAGAAGCAAGCGAGTGGCATGCATGGTGATATATGGTGTCTTGCCGCCCAACCCTTCGTTGCGTCCGAGAAACACGGCAACAAGTCGACCAACGGTGCTGTTCACGGAGGAGGAAAGCTTGTCGCCGGAACCATGGATGGTAGCCTTGTTTTGTACTCCATTGAAGATGATGACCTTCGGTTCGATAGGATTTTAGTCAGGTCTTCCAACAAGAGGACCAAGATGGTCAGTCTCGCCTTTCAAAATCGCAACATCTTCGTCGTGGGATGTTCCGACAGCGCCATCCGAGTTTACGATATGCGCAATGGCAACCTGATCCGAAAAATGACACTGGGATCCGACCTTGCTGGTGGAGCAAAAGAGATTATAGTTTGGTCCGTGAAGTGTCTGAATGGACGCGACATTGTCTCTGGCGATTCGACTGGCCAAGTTTGTATATGGGATGGAAAGACGTACACTCAGGCGCAAAGGTTACAGACGCACAACCAAGATGTGCTTTCTCTCGCGACAAGCGCAGATGGCTCGACGATTTTCAGCGGTGGCATGGATCGTAGAACGGTTTTTTACAAGAAGACCTCGGGCGCTGTAGCAAGATGGAGCAAGGTCTGGCATAGGAGGTATCATAATCACGACGTCAAAACCATGGCGTCATTTGAAGGAAACGGCATAAGTGTTCTTGTTTCTGGAGGTTTGTATACCATTCTCATATCAGCCAACTCTTGTCGCTAATCTCTTCAAGGTCCGGATGCTAGTCCAATCGTCGTACCGTTGAAACAAGCCGGTATGGAGTATCACCGAACTCTGTCGCATCTTCCTCAGGATCCTCCTTTGCAAAGCGCACCGAGGAGTAGGTTGATAGTAAGTTGGTGGGAAAGAGAAGTTCATGTTTGGCGACTCAAGAAACCTTTGCGCGATCTGGTAGATACATCCGATGGAGAGTCGACCGTGGATAAGAATCGGAAATTGCTCGCGCGAATCCTCATCAAAGGCGAAGCAAATATTACATCTGCGACGATTAGTCCTGATGGTTCGTTCTTGGCGGTATCGACGACATCCGACATCAAGGCATTCTACCTAAAACCCCGAAGCGAGGCAAAGAAGGACGAGCTCAAAATCTCCAAAGTAGAACTCCAGGAAGATTTCTCTAAACAAGGCGCCACCAAAGTCCAAATTTCTCCAGATGGCCGATGGTTATGTCTCGTTCAAGGAGGTAACAATGTCACAGTCTTGTCCGTGTTACGAGAGTCGGTTTCAGAGAGCAAGCCAACCCTTAACCCTAAGGCCATTCGATTACAACGTATCGACCGGAAGATTCCAAAACAATTAACTCTAGGAGGGCTGGGACAGTACGACAGAACGATTACCCAAATCGCCTTCTCTCCTGATAGTAAAATGTTGGTAGTGGCGGATCTAGCAGGTTATATTGACTCTTGGATCCTGGATACACCACGGCCGAAACTTCAAAATGGCGTCAATGGAAATCACGACGATGAGTCCTCCGATAGCGAGGATGAGGAAGAACTGGATGGTGATGTGGAAGGTCTACGATGGAATCGTAATCCGAAGGGATCTCTAATTCCTAAATTGCAAGGTGCCCCTACCGTTCTATCGTTTTCCAACCACATCCCAACCTCGAAACCATCTTCCTCAAGCGACGACGAAGATGCTGATGACTATACCCTTCTTGCTGTTACCGCCAAACCCCAAATTCTACTCATCAACCCCACCTTTGGCTCTTTAACAGCGTGGACTAGACGCAACCCAGTTTCCCGATTCCCAATCGAGTTTCGAAATACCTTGGATCTCGTAAAGGGGGCTCTCTGGTCTGGCCAACGAATTTGGCTCTACGGACACACTTTCCTCTTCATGTTTGACTTATCTCGGGACATGACGGAGGGTTCCCAAGATCACGCTGACTTCGACGGGGCACTCGTGAAGCAAGGAACAAAGAGAAAGAGAGAACCTGCCAGTGGTGCTGGAGGCAAGATGGGAATGGAATCTGCAGGACCCACCAAGATCACCCGCTATGCCAAGGACGAAGCTGCTGAGGAAATTCCCCTTGATATACCCATGTCTGACCCCATGGACGAGGACGAGGCCAGTCAACCTGCAGACGATAGCGAGAGTGAAGATTCAGATGATGAGAATCAAGGAGAGTTAGCGCTTTTACGAGGTGCCCAGGGGAAATCTGCGTCCGAGTCGTTGTCGGATGAAAGCTTGACGTTCTGGCATACGTACAAGTACCGACCGATTCTAGGAATCGTGCCTTTAGGTGACGGGGAAGAGGTAAAGACGAATGGTACTGCTGACGAATTGACACATGGCAAGTTACCGGAGTCTCTTGAGGTGGCTTTGGTGGAGAGACCATTATGGGATGTCGATGTGCCCGATCGATACTATGCTGATGGGGAGTGGGAGAAATAAGGTGTATGTTTATTGGTAGTTACGATGTGTAGTAATGCGATAGTGATATCAAGATATTAAGTATGGGTTTTCACACTTCCTTCTTATTCGTTTGCTTTCTTGCTGTGGCTGACATTAGGTGAAGGATGGACAGCTCTATCATTAGACCGCTATCTGTGGTGACCGACCCCTTACTAGAAGTCCTTTAGATTAATGGGTTAGGTACCTACGTCTACCGTTAGCCAATTGATTTCCAAGTCTAGGTAGTACCTAGTTCTCTGCCTCTAGAATTCAGGAAGTTGTGGCTTAGGGGTGGATTTCTACTGGAGGAGCAGAGACGGGATGAAAACACCTTACCTATGTACCTCAGGGATCAGTTCCAACACCCATAGATACGCACCGAACGGGTTCTTGGGTGCCTATATTTCGAATTAAGGTTATCTGCGAGGAATCCATATTTTACCCTCGTTTTTTTTGTTTTGTTTTGTTTTGTGTGCTTTTGTGCATTTTCTTCTCAACCATCATTTCTCCCACCCATCCATCCATCAACACAACCACAAAATCCCAATACCATTTTTCCAACCGCATTCAATTCTAAGCATTTCACCGCGAAGAATTTCATTCTTACATCATTGAAAATGTCGAAGTCTACATTTTCATTCCGAGAGGCCATGAAGGACATCATGGCGCGCTTTGGCTCTATCCGAGTCCGCACCGAGTTCCCGAGTCAGCTCAAGTTCCTCATCCTCTCAGAGGTGGACGAATGCGAGAGGGCAGGAATCCATGGCATGGCCGTAGAGTCGGTCCAGTTCAATATTTGCTATTACCTTTGGGACGACGTTTCCCGTAAGTCGCTCACCATTCCATCAGTCATTTGCTTGCTAACTCGGTGCGCACAGGAGACGAGGAACCTGTCTGGGCTGATGGGCTCATAGACACAAGCCCCCGAACGGCCGATGATGCCCGCGAGAAGGCGGACTTGAAGGTCCTGCGCGCAGCGGCAGATCGCGTCATGGAATCCGTCGAGGACGCCGTGAAAATGGTCGAAACAAACAAGGAACTCGTCTCGCCCAAAGCTGAGCTACCGCCCCAGCCTCCTTCCGCGAAGAGGATTGAGGAGGGCAAGAACAAAGGAACCGACAAGCCGCCGGCGCTCCCAATGACAGGATCGATCGAGACTAACAAGATCGCCAGTTGGGCTGACCCTGAAGCCTATAGACGGGCATTTGCCTCAGTGGGGACCAATACAATCACGCACTCGCTCCCTCCCAACTATCTCTTGCTATGGGAGAAGGCGTCTCTGGGCTTGATTAAGACGTTCAAGCACTCGCCCAGTCTGGAGGAGATTCTCGAGGGGCTCGAGGCACTCATGGTCACGCCCTGCCTCCCGTCAACACTCGGGAAGCTAGACGCGCAGCGCTTCAGAACGGCGATGTTTGCCTGCGAGAACGTTGCCTGCGAGTTGGTTGAAGACGTGGCTGCAGGTGATATCAACTTGCTAGAAGAATGGCGCTGCGGTCTCTATGAACGCTTCGATAGGGAAGCCGCTGAGCTGAAGGAGAAAACTGGATTGTGGAGAAGAAACCGCGAAGATGATGAAGAGGCTCTGAAGGGCGATTAGAATTTCGCCGAAGGGGAATTATCGGCATCGTGAGGACGGGAAGGGCTTTGTTCATCGATAGACGAAACTAAATGAAAGCTGCGGGCTTCCCCCAAGTACTAAAAAAGATGAGACATCAAATGGATAATAATAGAGAGCTTCCACAAGAGTTCTAGTTCCTGGACTCGTTTCCTAGGAAGTACTGCTTTGAGACTTTCGACTTGATAATGACCTATTCTATGTTTTTCTCTAGCAGTGGGAGATTTGGAAGATGCTGGTTTGGAAATTCACCTTCGTGCTTCAGAAAAGGGGGAAAGGATCTTACGGCTACCTACACCAAGTACCTAGCTTTTAACGACGACTAAATAGATCTATCGTATGAAAAGCCCTCGCTATTTTCGTGGCTCTTGTGAAACTATTTCCCACCCAATACTGTACTATTCTCATCTAAAGTTACTTGACACAAGATGGTGATTCGCATGATGTTTACCTGGAATATACCTGCATAGGCCATAATTCAAGACAGCAGCACAGTCTAAGATTAAGTGAACCAGGTATCATCGGTTTCCGTATATATTTATATGGGCACTTCAATACGACTTTGCTTCACTTTACTTCCATAGGTAGGTAGGTACAGTAATAAGTCAAATTAATCCGGTCCACCCCCCATTTCACACCAAAGCTTACCCTTGACACTCCCTTATAATTCCATGAGTAAAAATCGTGAAAATATGTGGTTAGATGTTATTTATAGATATTTACAAGAACTAAACCTTTTACATAAAAGTCTTTACGGGATTCGCAAAGCCGAAAGAGTGTAAGCTGCTCAAAGTGAGCACTAGATGAATTTTGAAAAGTTCCCATACAAAATTTCCGGATTTGTTCGGGGATTTCTCTTTAACCACTTATCCTTTTCTCAACCATGGGAAATCCAGAAAACTTTCCATACAAGAAATAAAGAGAGTATAAATTTTTATAATTATTAATTAAGTCTTTATTTTGCGATTTGTTTTCGTAGAGCTATACGCTAGTGAAAAGGTAGCAAAATGGCCTTTTTGGTGGTAGACCGGATTAATTAGACATGCCACTGTACCATCTACATATATGAAGTAACGTATTGTGATTACGAATTAACAGTCTTTACGGGGTGAGTCATAATTAAGCAGGACAACAGCTCGAGGGCAGACCTCAAGCAAGCGTTTTATTGTCTAAACTAGCAACACATCCTACTCTCCCTTCTCCATCGACGTAACGATGGCCAGTTTCTCGCGTGCTTCGCATTCGAATACGAACTTGCAAAGCCTTTCTTCGATGGACGCTTCGGTCCACAATGTCCTCCCCTCCTCGGGGTCGCCTCCAAGCTGGTGTCTTGGCCTCCCAGTTTCCTCCAACTCAGTGGTGGGTGAAGAGCTTTGGTGTCGGGCCATCCTGGATGGCGTGGACATCTTCGGATTCCGGAGTCCAACCTGGGTGGTCCAAGCCTTGAACCAGCTGGCCAAGCGGTTTGCGGAAGAACTGAGGCTCATCGGGCCGGTCTTCTGCTTCCTTCCAGGGGCGTCCCTCGTGCCGATTCACCCAGCCTTCCCAGCCTTGGTCGCGTTGGATCTGTCTGGCGAACTTGGGGGTGTAAGGCGGCGGGAAGATGTTCTCAACGGTATACCGCTGGTCGTTTCCCTTCTGGATAGCGGCTCTCAGAAGCTTTCCGATATTAAGCCTGCTTCGGATAGGCCCCTTATTCTGCCGGTACCAAAAGACTATAACAACAGGAAAAAATCAGCAATTGCTCGTTCGAATATAAACCTTGAATATACATACGGTACTCAAGATCCTGCCATCGCTTTCGCTCTCGACACCTATCGTAAATATGGCCCTTTCGGTTACACTTGGGACAAGCTCCGTCCATCTAGCCGTTTCTGCTAACTTTTACGCAGTTGCGGGCTAGATGGCCGGGCTTGTTACAAGTACCGTAAACCTGCGGGTTTTCTGTAGCGGGGGACTTTACCCTTCGCTGCTTGCGAGGTCTCTCGCGACGATCTTCGTCGTCGCTGCTGCTCACGTCCTCCCAGGTTCTCTTCCGTCCAACATCTTCCACAGGGTTAGGATGCTGGTTTCTCAAGGGACCAAGGCCTTCTAGCCAATACAGCACAAAAAATGCTCGAGGGCCATCTAAAGCAAAATGCACTTCTCGTGCATTCTCCTCGTCCCCACCATCCTCATCGGTTGTGGATAATTCTATCATGGGAATCGGGTGGTGATGCTCCCTCCGACTCTGATCCTCGATTCCTTGCGGCTGAGGCTCTTGTACATCATCCTCACTCTCCCTGCCCTCATCAGCTGAAGAAGGCGAAGGGGGGCGCTGGTCTTCCTGGCCTTGATTATCCTGGTTATCCTGGATTTCTTGGTCGACTTCATCGTCAACGTCAATCTCGTCATCCTCGCCAGGCTCATCTTCGTCGGCCTCGTCATCTTCGGCATCCTCATTCGCCTCCAGGTCTTCTTCTTCGTCATCGCTTTCCGCGATGGGATTAGGGCCACGATGGGCTGATGCGCGACGCGGTCTGTACGTTCGATGGTCTGCGTAGTTAGGCGCCGGTAGGAGGCCAGCCGCCGAACGCGTCGTCCGATCCGAGGGTTCGGCAACGAACCGGTTCCTGTGAGCTCTCAGTCTCGGGCGAGGCGAAGCATCATTGCGCTCATGCTTTCGCGGTCTGCCGACCGTTCCTGAGCCCTTCTGGTGCTTCTTCGGGCGACCGGGCTTGCCATATTTCTTTTTTCCCTTCCTCTGCGGAGTCACTAGGTCGTCGTCCATTTTGATGGATGTATGCTTCGATACCTGATCAAAAATGGGAATGCTTCGTGTAGAATTGTTGACTAGCTGTTTGTGATCGCTGTCAAAGTTAATCCCGGATGACGCCGGAGAATCTTGTTTTGCCAGTCACCGGTGTGTCCGACGCGATATGCCTAAGGTATGAAGACGGTTGTCCCTTATAATGTACTTACGACATACATAGGACATAAGGCACGGATACTAAAGGTGGGTGAGGTTAGTAGGCATCTAGGTCTAAAATAACTGTTCCTTACTATATTTTTGCTCTTAACAATTGTGTATGACCTTTGCCAGCTATATATCCAGAGCTAGCTCTCCCAGACTGTATCAGACAAGCGTGAGAGTGGGAGTTCAATCCTGTCACCATCCATATCATCCCATATCCACCACCACCGGTGACGCTAGTGCATTTGAGTAGGTACATGGAGGACATATATTCTATTTCAGGGTACCATATTTTCCTGTACCTCGTAGGGCCTGCCAATTAGTTTATCTCTCAAATGTTCTCTCGAGTGTATACAGAGCTCGTAGGTTGGCTACTTTGTATCATATATCTCACTTATGTAAACTAGGAAGAGCAGAATAGGGGTATGATCTCAAGCATTACTTAGCTCTAGCCAACACTCAAGCGTTGAGAAATCAGCATCGCACAAAGTATAGTCATGTAACAAAGTCAACCAATAATAGCATATATCCATCATTGTAGCTTAGGTAAGTATGTGGTTTAGTGCCTCAGGGGAGAATCTGACAGTGAAACTACCTTACTTATTACCCAAGGGTCTACGTTCATGTCCTGTCCAATGTAGTAAGGTGTTGCTGGGGACACTGGATAATATTCACACACTGATAGATGGACTAATATGTTTTTTTGTTTTTGTTTTTTCGTTTCTCACTTATACACAACCCTACCTCAATCCCTTCTTTTTTTTACAATTCTACCACCAAACGTCTGGGTTTTTTTTCCCCAGTCCTGTTAAACAAACCCATCCTCATTTCATCCTATCTATGATCCACTGGCCATTGCGACCTATGCGACCGAACAGTAAATAGCATACCCGACACCCTGTCCATCTGTGCCCGACTAGAGCGCTTCTGAGCCTAGGGTTTTTTGTGCCAACTCAACCATCCTCTCCTCCCCTAGACGAGAGCGACGCTGCCGTCCCCGAAACCTAACCCCAAAAAGAAGGTGCGCAAGGCATGAGGAAACATCGGCCAGCAACAGTGATAGAACCCTCCTCTGCCGACGAGGTACCGGAAGTACATCCCCCGCCGAGAGGTCTAACGCGCTCGTCAAAGCGGCGATCTCCTTCATTTATCTTGGGTGAGGCCGAGATACCAGAGACCAGCGACCTGACCCGACCACGATTGAGAAAACGCGCCCGTATGGATCATACCCATCGCTTTGCAGAGCCTACTCCTATGGACGATGGTGCTATGCATCTTGACGATGACGAAATGAATCTCGGCGACGACGAAATGCATCTCGACGGCAACGACGATGTCTACCCCAACGACGATGATATCCCTGACATCCCTTTGAACGATATCTTCAAAGCTGGCGCTGGTACGAATCATGGCCTACCGGAACCCACACCAAACCCTCCTGCTAACGTGTCGATAGGTGGTACCCAGAGAAGCTATGCCTCGAAGGGCGTCCAAACCGAAAGTGATACGACCCAACCTCTCACGGCCCTGGCAGAGACGCCCAAAGAACCGGTTACCTGGTCTAGAATATCCGAGGAGGAGGTTTCCGAACTGATCCAGCGAAAGCCGCAGAGACTGATACGTAATTGGTCGAAACCCCCTGGTGTCCGGGCTCTCTATTGGGGAGAGGAAATTGAAGCTCTGTTCCTCAAGGTATACAACAAGAAACACCTGGGATGGATTTCGCTGGACGAAGGAACCGGCGAAGCGACTAGGGATGGCCGTCAGGAGGTGCGTCTGGAAAACCATGCTCATCTGCTTCAATGCCACACCTCCTCATCTCTTCACCTACGGCCTTAAACCCCACGATGAATCCTACAAAGGAGAGGTGGCTCTGCGACTCACGGATGAGTTTTCAGAGAAGCTCGAGCGCGTTTGCGCCCATCCGCTATGGGAAGGGAACCTCGCAAAGCTGCGCTACGTGCTCCAGGAGGTAGTAGCCTTCAGCGTCGACGACCATATTGCCCCCATCTACCCTTTGTCGGAGAGACCTCAACTTGGCGAGAGCATCTGGGCGGTCCTTGATGAGCTGGAAGTATACGAAGAGGAGAACCCCAAAGAAGACGAACATATTGTCATATAAGGATTAGTGCTAAGAAGCTGTTGGCTAGTATATGCGATCA